TCATATAATATTTGATCATCTAATTCTTTGCTCATCAATTATATTTCAGGCACCATTCTAAGAAGACACCAATTGCCTTAGTCATCTATGGGCCACAGTTACTATCTGCTTTTACTTCAAGACATATGTGCCCATATACTTAGAGGCAAGGATTGGAGTAGGGAGAGAAGGGAATTTGGAGGTTGGAAGGCAGCCAGAGGAAAGGGGTTGGGGAGAGGATCAGGCCTGGGATCTCTTTTCTGGGACAGGCTCATGTTTAGACCTCATTTATGAAAATAAATTTTGTTAAGTCTTTAAACAAATGGTGTTTCCTCCAATATATGTATCTCATTAGTTTTATTATGTAGGTGTACAGTTTAATCTTTTATTGGGAGCCTGCTGGGTGCAGATACCTGCTAGCCATTTACTGAAGGGACACGCTGTGTGCTCAAGGTGCCTGCAGTATAGCTGGAGAGACAGGCACCAGATAGCCACCTAGAATGCAGGTGATATAGTTGCACAGTGGTTGCAGCAACTTGCTCTACAGCCAGGCTCCATCAGTGCATAACAGTAAGACCTCAGAAAAGCTATTTGGCAGCTCCAAGCCTCAGCTTCCTTACCTGCCAGATGGGAATCATAACACTCACGGGATAACTGTAAAAAGCAAGTGTGAAGATGAACATAATGTGGGTGACACACAATATGAGCTCACTAAATGTAGGTGATGGTTGTGATCATAAAATAATTACTATTACTTTCATCATGATTGACTGGAGATAGAAGTATGCTATGGAACCCTATAGAGAAAAAAAAAAGAACATATTTCTTACTGAACATTCGGGGTGGAAGCTCAGAGAAGAGACAATATTTGAATAGCAACCTAAAAAAAAGTGTTGATTTATCAGAGCAAGAGCTGTAAGGAAGGGCATTTGATGTGGTGAGGGTGCTGTCTGCACAAAACAAAACAGAGTCAGTGAGGGGATTCGCAGGGAAGCGCACCCAAATAAACAGTGCACCTGGAGTGGAGGGGGGCGTTGAGTGGAATGAGAGGCTGAAAAAGTACCTTAGGAGAAGACCAGGGCGGACTCACAAAGAAACGTGACTGGGTTCCATAGGCAAGGGGAGGTCCTGGAAGGTTTTAAAGTGGAAAGAAGCGAAAATACCTAGTGGTGTCCAGGGGGATTTATTTTTATTTTTTTATTGTCTCAAGTTTTACATATGTCTCCTTTTTCCCCAATTGACCACCGCCCCCCCGCCACCCGCCCTGGGGGATTTTTACTCATTAACCTGGTGTAGAGGTCAAAGAGTTCACCTTGAGAATGACAGATCAGCTTGAGTTTTCCCACTGTGCACATATGACGCCCTGAATTCTGTTATTGATATCAATCATGATATAATTATCTATTTAATTGCCCATCTCATCCAATTATAAGCTTTACAAAGGCAGGAATGTATCTGTTGCATCCATTGTTATACTGACAGTGCGCAATAAGCTCTCAAATGCCCGATGGACATTGTAGCATAAAACACATCACCCTGTCTCCCAACTTAACTATATTTTTACTGATAGGAAAGGACCTCACTTTAGCTTTGCAGAAAGTAGACTCATTTCTCTTCTTTGAAAGACAGTGGAGTTCTTCAAAACCATCTAATTTATGTATTTTCTAGTTCTTCAATTCTACTGGAAGCCCAGAGAAGTCAAGGAAGTGATGGTCTATTTTAGTTCTTGAATCTCCCACTTTCCTAGTATTTGTTTATCATTAGTTCTGGATCATTGAAAATTATAAAACTACATTTCTTTGGACATACTTCAATATTTCCAATCTTTAAGGTTAGCTCTTATCCCAATTCATTTCAGGGGCATGCTTTAAATTCATCGATTACAATCATTTGCCATTTCAGAAAAGGTATATTTCAAAGCACCTATACAGCAAGCAAAGGATCCATTTCTCCTTTTGAACTCATATGCTTCTTACGATCAAAGAGAGTTATGCAACCCAATGTGTTTTCTTCTTTGCCTTGGTTACCAGGAAGCTCAGAGGTATACATGTTGTGCTTAGCTGCTGAGACTGTCATCAGCCAGGGTTTCTTAATCCATTCACTCTCTCCACTTTCTCTCTACCTTTATATCCTGGCTCCTACCTTTGTCTTTGTCTTATGGCTTCAGTTCTTATAAATTTGTGTATTTATGTAAACATTTTTTGAGTCGGCAGTAATAACATATATAAGTATGTGTATATGTATTTTATAATTAATATATATGCATATATTCATGGATATGTATATGTGTATTATGTATTACTTATAAACACACATATATATCCAAAACTGAAAATATATCATGTCTATTTTCCAGATGGCTTCTTCCACATCTCTCTCCCAGCCCCCATGTCCTCTATTTTTGGCATGCACCAATCAGGACATCTGACTCCTCTACAATTGGTGAATTCCAAAAATGAATATTCTCCCAGGAAGGCATGAGCTAGCAATGTAAATATAAGATTTTGTAGAAGAGTCAGGAAACACATTTCTCTTCTATTCTCCAAATCCCTTCTTTGTTATCCTGTCTTGAGTTTATTTTAATACCCTAAACCAGGGGTCAGCAAACTTTTTCTGTAAAGAGCTAACTAGTAATATTTTAGACCTTGTGGGCCACGAGGGCTCTGTTGCAGCTACTCAGTGCTGCCGTTGTAGTGCAAACTCAGCCATAGATGATGAGTAAGTGAAGGGACAAGACTGCATTACTATACATTTTTATTTATAAAAGAGTGCCAGGCTGGATCTGGCCAGTGACCAGTTTTGTGACCTGCTCTAAACCTTCCCCCACTGTGTCTGTACTCGCTGCATCTTCTCAGTGAGTATCACTCTGGCCAACTCCAATGTCCAATCTATTCAAGGTAACCCCAGTGAACCAGAGGGCTCTCAGCTCCTGGGACAGGACCCTCCCTCCTCAGTAATCAGTGTCATTGTATATTTTATTGCTTGAAAATACCCTGGGGAAGTTTATCCTTCTCTCACATATACCAACAGTTTTAGATATATCTTCCTACCACAGGCAATGATCACCATAAGAGAACTTCCAGTGCATATTACAAATATATCTCCATCTGCATAAGCAACAGTATTTTCACAGCCATATTTGAGGTTGGAAAGAAGGTTCAATCAAGGGCAGAGAAATGAGTCTTCATGTTAACATTCCCCAGATGCATGACCCTAGACAATAACCTCTCAATGCATCAGTTTTCTCATCTATAGGACAGAAGTAGGCATTCACCTACCCAAAGGCCACAGTCTAGACCAGAAAATCCCTTGAAAGTTCATCCTAGAATAGACTGGTCATTTCCTTAAACTAGTGATTTCTGAAGGGTTTCAGGAATCAAAACTCCCTGAGATGCTTGTTAAAATACAAATTGCTGGACCCCAGCCTGAGTTTTGATTCTTGGGTGGAGCCCAAGAATTTTCAGTGCCCCAAGTTTTGCTACTGCTGGTTCAGGGACCACACTTTGGGAACCACTGGTCTACATGCTAGTGCTCTCATAGTCCTTCTATGGGGAAGCACTAGTGGTGGTGGTGGTGATGGGGTGTTCTAGAACTCGTTCCTCTTTTTGAAAATGGGAATAAGCAATTAGTTCTTTTTGCCCACTGAGTCTCAGAAGCTGCAGCCTCACCTCACCACTAATTATAGGGTAAAAAGAGGCTGGTGGTCACTCTTGAGGGGCCAGGTGAGCCATCTAGAGAAGGACAGGGAAATGGGGGACAGCTAAGAAGAGGCAAATATGCCATCATGCAATTCCTTTGTATAAGCCAACCTTCCAGAACTTTTTCTTTCCATAAATGAACACAGCATTGACTGAGGGTGGCTCATACCTAGGCCCAGTGCCAAGTCATGCAGGGTGGGATGCAAGGAATCAGAAGAAGGCTGAGAAAGTGCAGGCTTCCTCCAGGGATCTCATCTGATGGGGAAGACAAAATTCACATGTGTTCACACATTTGATAGGCGTACGTCAAGGCAATTAGTAGATCATTAGATGCCATGTTAGGTGGCATGGAGACAGAGTTCTGGAGAGAGCATGTTGGTGGACTGGAGAGATCTGGACAGGCCTTCCTGGAGGAGGGGAGGCAGGCTGGCAGGGCCTGGAGGGACGGGAAGGGTGCAGGGAAAGGTGAGGAGAACATGGGGAGAAACCTGGGTGCTACTGGAACATTAGCAGAGAAGGGATGAAAATGAGCACAGGGACTTCTAAGCTTATCTCTACCCTCCCCATGTGAACTCCCACAAGTCATTTCCATTCATTTGTCTCAGTTTTCCGATTTGAGCAATGAGTGTTTTGAGCTAAATCACAAGTTTTCAAATGATGTCCCATCTTTGACAGACCCCAGGCCATTAGCAGGTAAAACAAGCAGCTGGGCTCAGCCCTCCCCTGTGTCCCATCCACCTCTCCAGAGAACCTCTGCTTTCCTACAGTTTCACGCCCTGCACTTACACCTCCAGAAAGGATTTGAGAACCACACAACGAGACAGTTTTCCAAGACTCTCTCCATTGGTATGTTGGGTGGCCGAACAGAAAGAAGAAAGCAGCCTGTAAGCACATGGATGTGGCCAGGCTAGCTTCTGGAACAGCGTGGCACAGAGAGAAGTTTAATGCACGGGGGCAGTGGTCAAGAAACCGCTGCAGTCTGTGAGTGGAGGAGTGCCCAGGGAAAGAAGTGAAATCAGGCCCAGCAGCTGCCAGAGAAGCAAACTGACCTGGAAATCTCAACTGCGCAGAAGGTTCTGAGTAAACACAAAGCTTGATTTTCCCCCCTGTCAGCCTTCCCTCCCAGGACATTGTACTGTATGCAAAACGGGTGACTGTGAGACAAACATTTTTTTCCACTGCCCTTCTCAGCCCCACGGGCCTTCAGGAAGACCTGCATTTCAAGCAAAGCTTTTTTATTTTCAACACCCACAGCTTCCATTTAACAATCAGAAGTTTTCCACTTTCATCAAAGAAACTGAAGAGAGAGGCCGAGGGAGCAACTTTTCTCAGCAGCTCTGGGCAGATGATTGAGCCCCCGCTACCCACTCACTGCCCATGCCCATCACAGGACACAGCCTTCTCCTCACATTGGCCAGGCACACACGCAAAAAGAACAACAGCACTAGCTTGCTTCATTCCCACCCCAGTTACCAGACCAAATGAGTGTGTGTGCCGACTTCTTCCTAAACCAAGCTCAGAAGTTAGCTGAACCTATTGTGGGAATCATTTCACCATTTAAAAAAATCGTGTTATACACCTTAAATGTACACAGTGATGTATGTCAATTATTTCTCAAAAAATAAGGTGGGGATAAAATCCCAACTTGGGATCGGAGGACTTCAGCTTTCTTGAATATAAAATAGGTACACAGCCTACCATTCTATTCAGTCCAAGAAAACAAGTTATTTCTTGATGGCTCTTCCATATCCAGAATCTATGCTGTTATAGATTCACTGGGAAGGAACAACCAGGCCAGTTCCTAGAGCAGGGGTGGGCAATCCCTGGCACACGTGCCAAACATGACACACCAGTAACTTTCGCTGGCACGCGAAACCCTCTCTTATAATCTTCCATTTACAATTTTTGTGAACATTTGAATGACTTAAATGTTAAATTACAAGGAACTAGCAAGACACTTGATGTTGTGTTTGGTTACATAAAGGCTTTTGAAAAGAAACTGGAAGTCTTTAAGAGGGATGTGGATGGTGAGAGATTTAGATATTTCCCAAATCTCAAGAGGCACATCAAAGACCTCCCAAAAGATGACAAACAGACTTTCAAAGCCTTCAAAAGCTGTTTTTAAAAATCATCGAGTCAACTATTGAGCAGTTCTTCTCAAGATTTGCGAAATTCAGAGAACTGGGAAGAGACAGCAAACTCCATGAGGTTTCCAGACAGCATGAAACTGGAGGAACTAAACTTACAAATGTTTTCATGGATAGCCATGGCCGACTTTGAAATGCAGTTGATTGAATTTCAGAGTAGCTCAATTTGGAAGCAGAAATTTATTGACCTTAGAGTTGACTTGGAAAACATTGAAAAAAAGCGATTAGAGACAGGAGTATCAGAGGGAAGTGTCAAAAACGAAAAGTCCTATTGAGGACTTGGAATGTCATTCCAGAAAATGTTTTCTGTTTAAAAAACTTCGCAACAGCATTACTCTCCATGTTTTCATCCTAATATGCTTGTGAATCTCTAATGTACATGTATACATTAAAAAATAAATCTATTTTCATCATCATATACTGTGTTTTTGTCACTCGAATGAATTTTATTATGTCTTCAAGCTTCTTCACATACATACCCCTTAAGAGATATCAAGTAGGCGTAACATGTTCTCAAAAAATTAGGGTTGGCACGCAGAAGAATTTTGAGTCAGAGATTTTGCTGGTTTTGGCACGCACTCACAAAAAGGTTGCCCACCCCTCTCGTAGAGTCTGACTAACTGGGTGATGCTCAGCAGCCTGGGATCCCCGCAGAGGCCGCAGTGGTAATAATCCAAGTTTGGCTCGGGCCACATTTCCTTGGGCAAATCTGGGGTTTCTGCTGGCACTCGGAGATACACTGCAGCCAAACAGAGAGCAGAAAGGGGAGGGGTGCTGCAAAGAACTGGGTACTTCCAGAGGAAGTTTTCAAAGAGCTGTATCCAGAGGCACGGGCTCAGCAGTGGCTCACATTTTCAATGGTGTTTTGACATGGAGAGCATTAGTAAGCAGCTCTGTCCCCCAGAGAATCTACTCACTGAACCCATCTAAATTCCAGACCGGGCCCAGGGGACCACTTCATATGCTTAACCGGAATGGTACAACACCACAGCCAAGTCTATTCCCACTCACAAAGCGCTGTTACACCACCATCCCATTTCATCTTCACAGTGGCTGTCAAAGGGAGGGCCATAAGGATCTGTACAAGGACCCAAGGCCAGTAACGAGCAGGGCTGAGGCCCAACCTCAGGCTTCCAGCCTTCAAGTGCAGAGATGGCTGAATGGTTTAGCATGGGCTTGGGGGCTAGCCAGGTATGGCTCTGCACCCCTTAGCTCATTGATCAACATTAGCAGCTTTGCTTGAAACAGTTTTCATTCTCTCTGACTCTCAATTTTCCCATCTGGAAAAAAGAAGTATCACCTGCCTCAGACTGTGGAAGTGAGGGTGGAGTGAGGCCATGCATAAAGTTCCTAGCACTGTGCCTCAGACAATAAAAATTCAAGTGTAATAGTCACATACACAGACACCACACACAGTACACCACACATACATATGCACACAACATGCACCACACACCACAATGCACACAACATGCACCACACTCGCATGCAGCAGGGGCACATACCCCCACATTTGGCACAAGATCACTTCCCCACCCTCTCCTTCACGGCCCATCCCTTCCTCTTTTTGTGCGTTTTATGACAAGCCCAAGTTTGTTTGCAACTTCAACAGATCCCAATACACTTGGCAGAAAGTTTTATTCCAAAGATCAGTGTTTTCAGATTTCCTGCTCACAGTCCCTTTGCACCTGCCCCACGTTTCATACTGCCACAAGTCTGTTTTTCTTTGGATCAATCTCTACATCAATGGACT